TGTATGTATTTAGGTTACAAGGCCCAATGAACATGAAATGAGTATACAAGGTCCGTCGAGCATGTAGATGGGTTAACAACGCCCAATAAACATGTAAGGAGTATACAGGACCTATCAATAAGCATGGGTTAACAAGGCCCAATAAGCATGTAAATGGGTCACTAAGGCCCAATAACATGTAATGAAAGTACCAGGCCCAATAAGCATGCAAATGGGTCACTAAGGCCCAATAAAAACATGTAACGAATGTATCAGGCCCAATAAGCATGTAAATGGACCACAAAAGGCCCAATAACATGAAAATGGGTAAACAAGGCCCAATAAAAACGAGAACGACGTAATTAGCCCGTTTGTTATTATATTGCTTGTTTTAGCTCAATTATTTACCAAAATGACATAAAAGGGCCACTTTTTGTAAAAATGACATTCTTGGCCCATTAAGCCGAAAATTTTACAATTAAGGCAAATTTTTGGTAAAAATGACACTTTAGGCCCATTAAGACCGAAAGTTTACTTTTAAGGGCTTATTTTGTATAAAAGGACATTTTCAACCCACTTTTGATAGAAATAATGTTTTCGGCCCAAATTTAATAGAAATGACATTTTCAGCCCATTTAACCAAAAATTTACATTTTTGGCCCATGTTTGTTTTAAAATGACAATTTAATCCATAAAAAGTCATTAGTTACCTTTTTAGGCCCATGAAACCTTGAGCTGCTAAATAATACCCATTTTTGTGAAAATTGACATATTTAGCCCATTAAAACCGTGAAGGCCCAAATAGAAGCCCATTTGTGAAAATTAACACTTTTGGCCCTTTTAAAACCATGAATATCATAAAGACCCATTTTTATTTTAAAATGACTCTTTTGGTCCTCTCAAAACCGTGATTTAACATAAGAACCTTACTTTTTTTTGTTTATTTTGTCAAATATGGCCCTTTACACGATTTTATTTAGTTTTTAAACATTCTTAGCATGTTTAATCCTTTCCACTTCATAGTAAGTCACATAAGATGGTTTAGTTTACGAACATCACCAAGCTTAGTGGATATTTCGAGTTTAGTGAAGATCTAGCATGTTCTCACAACATAATCACAACATATAACATGAAAACACACATATACATGCATAAATACATAGATCTAACACAAAAGCAACTTGTATCCTCCCCCAAAACATAGTAAAAACCGAAAAAAGGGGGTATGAACTCACTTTGATCAATGGATCGGTTTTGGTGAGAACATTAAAGGAAATTTCGGCCTAGCAAGCCCCTTTGAGAAGATCTTCGAACTTATGGAGTTCTAAGAAGCATGGATCATGAAATTGAGTGTTTATGAGTGAAGGACTTATCATAAAATGAAGTTGAACACCTTGATTAGAAAATAGCTTACCTAAAGAGATGAACTTTGGTGAGAACTTGTTGAAAATCCACACCACCTCACGGTTTTCTTGTAAAAGAATGGAGGAATTCTTGAAGGTTTTAGAGAGGAAGTTTTAGAATGGGATGATGTTTGAATTTTTGGAGAGTGGAGAGTGGAGAGAGGCTTGGACGAGAATTAAGAAGAGAGAAGAGAGAGGTGAGAAAAGATGTTGCCTAGAGGTATGAGAGTGTCTAGTTGCATGGTGGTTATAGTGCATGGATTACCAATAAATAATAATGAGGTGTCACCCCATAAATCTCCATCTTTTCCTTTTTTTGTTTTAAAACCAAGAATGGAGGGAGGGAAAAGAGAAGAGAAATGTTTGGGCTTGAATTGAATAAAAATCGAGATCTTATAGCCCAATAAGAAAGCTTTCAGCCCATTGGGCCCATACATAAGTTTTCGGCCCAAAAGTGGTATAAAAAATGGGTTTTCAGCCCAATGAGGTTCAAGAAGACGTTTACGGCCCATTAAGGCCCATGAAGAGTTTTGTGGCCCAAAATCAATTACTTAGTGAATGTGGGTCCAATTAGGGCCCAAATGAGGTATCTTAACCCAAACTAATCAAGTTGTGGGTTTATTGGCCCATTAGGCCCAATAAATGATTCATGGCCCAACAAGATGTTTGAACTAGGAAATTAGGGTTACAACCCAAAGTAGAGTGAACATAGTGCATTGATCTAGGTTTAGGGCTTCACGAGTGAGCTTTGATTTGAATAGTTGTTTTTGGAATGAATAACATGTATAACATCAATCTTAGAGTTACAAAATACTTCAAGAGTTGATTATACATAGATAGAACTTCCTAGCCAAAAATGCTAGTTGTGACAGGTAATTATCCTAATCCAAAATAGATCTGAAAATCGAAAAATCAGCTAACAGACGAATCAACTCGTCGAGTCAGGGCATAGACTCGTCGAGTTCATCATAGAACTCGTCGAGTTTTTCAAGCAGAATGCGAATTCTGTTTTGCTTTTGATTTGGACAGATCACTATTGCATCAAATATAACAGAAAACATCCTAATCTCTGATACCACTGATGGGTTTTGAGCATATCAACATTCCTATGTGATCATGCAACCCTAATTGCTTTGGATCTAAGTTTTTCTCTAGATATACATTCAAATAGAAATTCCAAAGCAATAACCCTAATACTAGCATATAATTTTGAAATCTACATGAAAACTAGGGTTAGAAGATTACATTGCTTGCTATCTAGTAATAACAAGAGTTCCCTGGATGATCTTGACTCTTGAAAGCTTTAGTGCCTCAAGTGTTGCACCTCTAATGGAGTCACAAACACCAATAGCAATGGATGAATGAGAGAGGAGGTATAACACTATGAAAATCGGCTAGGGATTCTTCTGGAAGCTTGTGGCCGAAAATTACATGCCAGGGAGGTGTTTATATAGCTGAGGCTGCTAGGGTTTTCAGGTGGAAACCCTAATTTCCTTGCTTAGGCCTTAAGCAGTCCATGGACCTCCACAATAGAAGCCTTGGACGAAATTCTATAGGGCCTCCTATAGATTTCGTCCACTCCCTTTTAAAGGAGTCCATCAGCCCAACTCTACAACTATCATTGATTTGAAAAACCAGTCCCCGTTCTTTTAATCAGTTCCTTTAATCTCAAAATCAATATCAAATTAATTTCTGATTAAATACTAATTAAATAATATGATTTCTAATTAATATATTATTCTTATAATATATTAATAAATCACTTATTAACCTCTTTCTCCAAAAGTCATCATGTCAAGTTGTTATGGTGAAGGCAACCCAAAAGGACCATGCTACTATCAAATCCAGTACATACCAATTATAGTTATGGGCTTAGACACCTAATCCAACACTTTATTCGGTTATATTAGGTCCTTAATCATCTTGTACATGTTATTTAGGTTATTCGGGTAATAACCGAACCGAACCGATTAATACCCGAACCGAGCCAAACATGTATTGGTTAATCGGTTCATGTAATTACCCTTATTCGGTTTTTGAGTTATTCGGGTTCGCGTCGGTTCGGTCCGGTTCCGACCCGAATAACATCCCTACTCACATCTCCACCAAGCAACCACTTCTAGCACATATATCCCAACTTATGATGCCACAACTTTCTTTCATCATCATATTGATCCAAGGAATGGGATACAATCACCGTTCCTTTAACCGTACGACCTTCCAAGAAATAAATCTCATGATTCATCTTCCACTTCATAACCACAAGAGCATCCTTGGAGACTCTTACCCAATCACCATTTCCAAAATACTTCACTCCGTCCTTCATCAAAGTGACAAGAGAGATCAGGTTCTTTCGAAGATCCGAGACAAACCATCAATTCAGTTTTCTAACCATACCATCATGCATCTTGATTTGCACTGTGCCACTGTCCTTTACTTTTCTCATCCAATCATCGCCCGTCTTGATTGTGTCATTCCACTCTTTAAAGGAGTTGAACCAGTCACGATTGTACGTTATGTGATAAGATGCACTAGAGTCCAAGACCCAAGCATCAACAAAACTAGTTGTACATACAGTCAAAACTTCACCATCATCATCTTCATCAGAATTTCCTTGAACCACATCAGCATTATTGTTGTTGCTTGATTCAACCCCATTATTCTCTTCCTTCAGCAACGTACAAAATCTTCTAAAGTGCCCTTTTTCCTTATAGTTATAACATCTAATGTTGACCTTCAATTTGGAACTTCACTTCCCTTTGTTACCTCCACCTCTATCTAATGCTCTTCCTCTGCCTGCGAACATACCAAAACTGTAAAATTCATCTCCAACCAAAACCTTTTTTTTTCAGTTTCGTGGACATCAAACAATCTTCCACATCATTCACGGTGATCATTTTCCTACCATACAACATGGTATCAACGAAATTCTCATAAAAATTCGGCAGTGAACATAAGAGGATAAGTGTTTCATTTTCACCTTCAATCTATACATTCACACCTTGTAAATCCAAGATGATCTTGTTGACGTTATAAAAATGATCATTTAATTGGGTGCTTTCTGACATGTTAAGAGTATACAAACATTGCTTCTGATACAGACTGTTCGTCAGAGAATTGTTCTTATATTTGTCATACAATTTCTCCCAAAGCCCATCAACACTCGTTCGATCCACGATATCTCTCAGTACTTCGTTTGTCAAACTCAATAGAATGGCACTATGTATCTTCGTCAGAATATCGACCTTCCTTTCAGTCGACATGTTATTTGGCAGTTTCGCTTCTCCTTCCAACGCCTCTGCACATCCTTGTTGAACCAGAAGAGACTTCATCTTCACCTTCCAGAAAGTGAAAACATTCAAACCATTGAACTTCTCCAAATCAAATTTGTGAGATGCCATATTTAATGAACAAAACACCAACCACAACTCTGATACCACTTGTTAGGAAAACCAGACGATACTTGTCAACAATCAGAACAGATCTGATGCCACTTGCCAAGCTCTGATACCACTTGTTAGGAAGTAATACGGAAAACAAGCAAACCCAATAACACACAAGACACATTATTTATGTGGTTCGGTTAAGGTGACCTACGTCTACAGGCAGTATGTGTAACATCCCAAAATTTAAGACCAAAAATTTCGTTTTGATTAATTAAAAACCGCTTAATAATTTTTGCTCAATCATTTAGTAGCATTCTGAATAAAACAATTATCAGAGTTTTAAATCCCAAAGATCATCTAGTGCGGAAAACATGGTGTGATGCGCTGCGATCGCCCCGAGCTCCTCCCTTGGAAGAACATTAGTACCTGAAACAAATAGCTGAAAGCCGTAAGCACGAAGCTTAGTGAGTTCCCCAGATACCACATACCATACATATCAACTGACCCATACATACCATACGTAACCATGAGCCATACATAACAAACATATCCATAATCAAGTAAGGTGCTATGTGCCAAACATAGTCTTGTTGTTATGCTACGGGCCGCACGTGGTCTTTCTTGTCAAGCCTGGGGCCACTCCCTGGGTCTTACAGACAAGTGCCAAGGGCCACCCCCTGGTCTTCCATGCAAGCATCACAAAGACAACTATACATACTACTCTACTAGGCTACTCAACATACAGTGTGCCAGGAGCCACCTCCTGGTCTTTCATTCATAATAGCTTACAGTGTGTCAGCAGCCACCTCCTGGTCTTTCATACATATTGCCTAGGGCTAACCCCCGGGTCTTCCTACCATACATAATGACATACTGTGTGCCAGGAGCCTCCTCCAGGTCTTTCATGCATAATGCATAGGGCTAACCCCCGGGTCTTCCTACCATACATAAACTAAATGGGTCGGCATTGTGGCCGTAGACCCATACAAACAGTGAGGAGACTCACATCGATGTCGTGTAGTGTCTGCACTGATCTCGATGTGGAAATCGACTCTCCCCGACTCCTCTGTCCCTACACGACAACTCTTCTAAATTATCAACTCGTACTCATAACCCTTACAAGGGTCACTCAATCCCAGTCAACGTCCAAGTCAAATCCATGGTCAAAGTCAACATCTGGTTGACTCGACTCGCCGAGTTGTCCCGCCAACTCGTCGAGTCCCCATAGCCACAATATGTCTTAATCTCGTCCCCACCTGTCGAGTCTAGCAAGAGCTCGACGAGTTCGCCTTCAACAACACATCGGACAAATCTTCAACCGACTCGCCGAGTTCATCTTCATCCATAAGAAGATGCTCAGTCTTTGACTCGTCGAGTTCCCTTTGAACTCGCCTTGTCCATCTTCATAATTTGGGAGATTGCCTTGGACTCGCCGAGTTTGCTCAACCACTCGTCGAGTCCCATGATTCCCAGGTCCCTTAAGAGCCTAAACAACTGAGGGACCTTCCACACTATCATCTGGTCCATCAACAGAAAGGATTTGGTGGTCATTACACCCTGACTCGCCGAGTCCCAAGAACGACTCGCCGAGTCCATCCTTGACCATTATTATACAATCGATTTAAATGGGTCTTAACACACAAAAACCATAGATCTAGCCTCCTAATGTCCATTTTACACGCAAAGTTCCAAACTAGATGCACATGCATGGGGTCTTTGGCTCAAAAAGCCATATAAGGTGATCTACAAGATGCATGGGGTGTTTATGGCAACAAAGTGGGCACCTTTATGCCATAAAGACCCCCAATAGCCCTAGATCTGAAGCACAACTCACTTCTTATACTCAATCCCGATTACATCCTCACTAGGGCTTAGAAAGATGTAGAAAAAGGTCCAAAATCAAGATCTAGGCAATGAGTAGACAAGGTTTCAGCTTTATACCTCTAACAAGCTGGAAATGAGCTCAGAACTCTAGATCCTCTTGTTTCCCCTTGGTCTCACAAGTCTCCTTCTTCTCTTCAAGCTTCAATCACACAAAGTAACACCACAAGGCTCAAGAACACATTAAAAACGGCTAGGGTTCCGAATTAGGGTTTGCTCTGGACGATGGGGGCTAAGTTGAGGGGTTATAATGTGTTTAAATAGGGTGCAAACCCTCAATTTAGGGTTTCACCCAAACAACACCTACTCGTCGAGTCAGTCTCCCGACTCGTCGAGTAGGTCACTTAAACTCCCCGCGGATCACGACTCTACTCGACTAGTTGGGCCACCAACTCGTCGAGTCCCAGAGAAAAACATAAGAATTACTTGAAAGGAAAGCATACCAGGGATCGGGTATTACAGTATGGGAGTATGCTTTATTTATGAGTTCTCAAACAGAGGTTACAAGTACAATTCAACAGAAATTCCCCTATCACTCTAGTATTTAAGACGCAAAACAAATGATTAAGCGAACATTTGTATTTATAATGAAGAGATCAAATCTAAAACCCTAATGGGCTAAGCTCATTGGTCCATAGGCCCATGAATGGTGTCAACCAATCACAATCCACCATGTTGTAGCTTCTTGAACATTCATCATTGATATACATTGCATGAGCATCAGCAACACACATGATGAAACATCATGATCCATAGTGGCCCATCATGATGCCAGAGTGGCAGATCAAGATCACCATGGCTCATCAATCATCATGGTGGCACATCAAGCAATAATCCTTAAGCATCTTCAACTTCTAAGCATCCTTGAACAATCTTGAGCATCATAGGGGACATCACAACATAAGAGGCTCTCAGGGATATTGTGGCTCATAAAGGAACCAAATGGCACATCTTTGCATCAAGATGGGGCATCAAGCATGTAGATGTCACATCTTTATAAATGGATGGTGCATCCTCTCCTAGGGAGGCGCAACGCGCATACTCTTCCATGTTGGCTCATCTCCTTCACAAATGGCGCATCTAGACTCCAAAGTGGCGCACCCTCTCCATAATGGTGCATTTAGCTTCAATAGTGGCACATCTAAGCTATATATGGCGGGCTTGCTTAAGGAATGGCACATCAAGCTTCTCAATGGCGCACCTTGACTCCTAAGTGGCGCATCCAACCATAGGACACATCTTGATAATAGATGACACATCCATGCACCGTGATGCTCCATTCCACTCCCAAGTGTTCCATACCCCTTTTTAGAAGACTCGTTCATTTGTTGCTTGATCTGTTTATTTGTCATATGATTCATTCCTTTCTCAGATGATCCGTTCATTTGTCACATGTTTCATGAACCTCAAGTGCTCCATTGAACTCAAATGATCCATGAAAATGATGCAAATGCTCAAATCACATTTAACAAATACAAATATTTATATTTATTAATAATCAAAATTACTCTAATAAATAATCAATTAGTAGTAACTTGTTACAAAGTGTGACCATATATGATCATATGTCATTAACAAATATTATTCTATAATGACTCTTGGACATATAGACCGTTCAAGGACTTCTTATTTACTTAGTTGACCACGACTTCGTTGGTATGGAATTTATTTAGCGTGTATCATTCCTCGAACACTTCATGCAAAAATCCTATGAAAAGCTTTATTATTTTGTCCCTAATAAACCTTTGTAGTATTATGGTCTTCCACCAATCGAAAATAAAATATATTTGAAGAGGATGTTGAGTATTTACAAGTTTGGTTTGAAGAGGATGGTGAGGATTTTAGAAGTTTGATTTGAAGAGGACAATACCGAAGTGGTTATTCAATATGAACATTAATCAAGAATTGAAGGTAAAGGACATGATGGCTACTTCTTCGACACATTGATGTTCATCTTCAACTAAAAGATGAAATATATAGTTTGAACAAGACAAGTCATAATGAATTCCTCGGTAAGTTGTATGCTAGTCAAAAACCCAAAAAAGTAGTAAATGAAAAAAACCCATGATACTAAAAAACAAGTTCAACCAATACATTAACATTAACCCTCAAATAAAAATAGACTAAAATGATGCTTATGCCTTGTAACATTTCCGAAAGTTTAAAATTAGCCGAAAATCGATCTAACTTGATGCAAGTTATTGTTTAATTTTGAAAGTAAAAGATTTTTGTATACAAATATATGATCTTCATCGTTCAAAAAATATAATAATAAATTCAAGAGATATATTAGAACATTATCTTGGAATATATAATGATGAATGTAACCTAGTTGAATGAATCGCACCGGCGCCGGATTTCTCCTCTCCGGCCACTCTTCACACCGTACAAACCCAGCTTCTCCATTGCTCGACCAAATGCCTCAAAGAAAACTTTCTGTTCTCTAGCATACAACTCCACATATGGCTTCGTTCTCGGATCCATTACAAGCGCCCTATCCGATTTCAAAACTCCAAGTCCTTTCGGCAAGTTTTGGTAGTACGCATTATCGAAGTTTCTAGGAGTCATCACGTCGTTAAACACCGATAAGGAAGGGTTCCGGTGGTAATCCGCACAAGCAGATCTTAATCCCTCGGCGTATCTTGGATTGAACGACGGATCGTATTGTGATGTTCTGCTGTAATTGTAGATCTCTGAACTGAATTCCTTGCAATGACTGAATCCGATGGTGTGAGCACCTGTTAATGCCACCATTTCCTGAATTGAAAACCCTCTAGAACTGAAGATACTGATGAGTTGATTCATCGACATCGTAGGTCGAGGGAGATTGCCCTCAACGCGCGACGCTCTCGAAACTAATCCGTCACGGCGACCTAATTTCACGGTGTAGAAAGGTCCGCCCATCATCGTGACGAGATTACGAGTAGCGACGGCGAGGATATCGGCGCAGGAGACAACGCCAGGGCAAGCGAGTTCGAGAGCGGTTTTCGCCCTTACAACGACGTCGAACCCGTCTCCAGGGAGGGAGAGGTTGATGTCGGCGTCACGTTCGGCTTTGCTGAAGGGTCTGGAGGAGATAAGGACGGATGCGTCGCAGCCTTCGACGAGGCAGTCGTGGAAGAAGAGACGGAGCGCGGCGGCGGCGGTGGTTGGGGAATTGATCTGCTTGTTGGTGGTGGTGTCCTGCATTATCTGATCGAATTTGGGGCATGTTTTCTGGTAGTAACTGGTGGTGAGTTGCTGAGAGTGTGAAGATGAGATTAAGAATGAAATGAGTAAGAGAATTGAGATTACTCTGTCAGCCATTGATGTGGCTCTGTCAGTAGAGCATGTAGCTTAATGAGGAGTTCAATGGCGTCAAGACTCAAGAAAGGGTTTTGAGGGGGAGGAGCGCGTATGAGCGCGTGAAAACTGACGCGCGACTATCACTTTTACAGGCAGCCAGTAATCGCGGTGGATGCTGATTTGTCGGTCCATATTTAATTATTTTTAACTTTTGAATTATGAAATAAATTTCAATGTAAGGAAAAAATAATTAGGCAATTCTAATAAGTTTTGTGTAAAAGTCTAGTTAATTTTTTTTAAGGAAAGTCTCGGATATCCATAATTTTTGCATTTTTTAATATGAAAACAATATATTTTCTTACGAGAATATATACAAACAAGAAAAAACAAGTTGCTTAACTATTTTTTCGTAAATCGTCTTAATCAAACTAGTAAAGGTACGTTGAATACAAGTGGGGTATGCCAGAAAGGTTTGTGTTGGAATGGGTCATTATTTTCAATGACATTGTTCAAAATAAGAGCATACGCGCATGTTAGAGGGGCCCACACTTTATTCATTTTTCAAAATCGTTGGCGGTTACACGTGTCACAATTTTAGGACGATATCGCTGCCTAATATATTCCATAAAGATAAAGATAATAGAATCATTATCATATGGTAAAGAGCCACTAATTATTATTCGCCCTTCTATAAGCTCAAATTCCCTACGATTTTTTCTAAAATTTTAACGTATTTTGTCATCTTTTTATGTAGGAAATGAATTAACAACAAAATAATCATTCTACTCGTCCACCTAAGATAAAAAATCAAACTCCCACTAAAATTGATTTATAAAATTAAAAGTTACGCCAAAAATGAGTTATGAAAATCAAACATTCGTCGGTTCATCAGATGTATGGTTCTGAGATCAAAACCATACATCTGATGAACCGACGAGGGTTTGATTTTCATAACTCATTTTTGGCGTGACTTTTAATTTTAGACAAAATTGTAATAATGGTCAATGTGGTTGACAAAATTATGTGGTTTTGGTTCAAAAAGTTTTGGTCGTCCACCGTTGGTCCAAAATTGGATCTTTTTATTAGTTTTGGTCCCTATAGACTTAAAATGACTTTTATGCCCTTGTAATTTATATTGTTCAATTTTTTAATTGTTTTGTTATTTTAATTATTAAAAGAAATATCCCCATCACCCCCACCGTATTTTCCACTTTCTCTCACACCAGAAACCACCGATAACGCCAAAAACCATCACCACAACCGTTATTCTGGTCGGAAACTGTCACCAACGTCACCCATCTCGTCAGAAACCACCATAGTCATCCTACCCAAACCATATTCATCGTCTCTTCCCTTCATCTTTTCGTGACTAGGGTTTTCAGTCGTCGTCACCACTAGTAAATGTCGCCACCACAGCCAAAACAAGCTACGATCTGGACTGAGAAGGCTACCCCATGGATCTAGGCTCTGAGAAGCAGATATCTCCGGCGACGAAGCGCATCGCTGGGGTTTTCTACGCCTCTATTTCTCTCTCTTCTGCTGGTACGACTGTCGGAGAAGACGAACAGCAGATCCTGCTAGGGTCTGACGACGGTGGGTTTTTTCCATCTCTCTTTCTCTCCATTCTATAGTTTTCTTATGCTCTGATTTCCGCATCGAGGAGATGAAACGATAAGGATTTGTGTGGATGTGAATCTGTTGAGGAAGGAAGATGTGGTGGTGACAGTTGATTGAAGTGTTGGAGGTGGTAGTGGTAGGAAATGGTGGTAGGATGGTGGAACCGGTAGGTTGAAGATGAAGATGAAGGGAATCGCTACCATATATGGTGGTGGTTTCTTGCTAAAAATAGGTAGATCCAACGGTGGTGGTGGTTTTCTATGGTGAAAACAAAGATGAATGGTAGCTTTACCGACGACGGTGGTGGTTTCTGGCTAAAAACAAGCAGATCTAATGGTGGTGGTGATCCGATGACATGGAGATGGTGGTGTTCCGGCGGCGGTGGTGGTCTGTTGGTAGTGGTGGTGTTAGGTCAAAATAAAGTGAGAGAGAGATGTACGAGGTGGGGTGAGTGTGACTTAGGAGGGGTGGGGGGTGGGTTGGATTTTTTTTTTATTGAGTTTTAATTAAAATAATACAAAAAACAATTAAAAAATGTAAAAAAGAATTATATAAGGGTATTTTCGTCATTTTAGGTGGGATATGGACCAATACCACACTAAAATGCCAAACATAGGGACCAAAACCACACAAGGTTTTTGAAATTGGACCACTAATACACCACAAAATGATTTTGGACCAAAACCGCATAATTTTGCCAACCACATGGACCATTTTTGCAATTTTGTCTTAATTTTATAAATCAATTTCAGTGGGAGTTTGATTTTTTCCAATTACAAAGATGGGGTTAAATGATATGATGGAATCGACGGGGATCTTATTTCAGAAATCAATTGTCAATGGTGGTGATGGTCGTCAGACATAAAGCGACCGTGGGAGCGATGGTCAAAGAAGTTGAGATGAGGTGGTGGGGTGTAAATGAGTAGCCATAGTTGAGCTGGGATGGTTTGTGGCCTATATTGGTCGCTTCAGGTTTGTGAAGTTGGATCATCCAACGAGTTTTGGTGGGCCTTGATAATGGCGACGAACTTTATGATGGACATCGATGACGCCGACAATCGTTTCCGACAAGAGAGACAGAGTAGAAAGAGATGGGTATAGGAAGAGATATGGTGGTGGAAAGAGATCGATTGGAATCTAAAAGATTAACGGGTTTTGGGTTGTTAGTGAAAATGGTGGGACAATGGGACCCACATTCTTATTAAACAAATTTTCAATTGATTAAATGTAATTAAAACATAAAATATAATAAAAATGTATAAAGTATTTTTATATGGATAAGGACAAATCACGATACAAATTGAAACCATTCGGACCAAAAAAATTAGGGACTAAACTTGATATTCTGGAAAACCACAAACAATGTTTATGAATATTTATCTCTTATCAATCATTATAATGATTATAAGTTAAAATTAATGTTTAGCAATTACAAAATAGTTTTTTAAAACTCATTTTTATCACCTCTGATAAAGAGTTTCTAAGAAATCATATTCATTTTACTTCTTGAAAAGAAAATAGTTTATAGCTTCTCGAAATAAGTTTACAACAATGCCCTCATTTAACACTCATACAAATACGCTCCACCCTCCAAATCGAATTCAATCAATTGGTAACCCATCAAAACCTTTTATCATTTGCCATTTTTATGTTGATGTTCCTTTGTTGAGAATGTATTCTACTCTACCTAGTTTGATATGTTTAGCTGAGTTGACCAAAATCGTTGAATTTGGACTTTTTGTGATTTCTATACTAGTACTTGATATTTAGCTACAAGAACAAGACATGTATCTCAATTATGGACTCGATTAGGGACCATTCTAGTACTTGAATTATAGTACTCAATGTCCCATCAGAAAATAATAATCATAATAAAATGTTGTAGCCTTGAGATCATGCATCAATAAAATTGTACAAAAATGTATCAAGCATTCAACTTTGGGATATAAAATAGCTTAGGGTTTAGTAGATTTTCGTTGAAAAGATTACTATAAATAGTTAAAGATAAATTGTTATATGTACAAACAACAAATAAGCCAAAATATATAAGGATGCCTATTTTCGGGCAGTTTACATATAATCTCGGCGTCTACCAAACAATCAAAAAAATGTTTATCAGCTTATAGCGTTTTTTAATCTAATTGAGACATCTTTTTTTTTCATAACTTTAAGTTGTTTGATAACCTCTTAATTTTTTAATTAAGAAACAGACTTTTAATTTTTCGGATTCAGAACATTTGATACCTTTGACTCGTAATTGTTCAAATTTTTAATTTTTAAGATAAAAAGTTGTATCTAAAAAAAGAGGAGTGTGTTCCGAAAATACCTTAATTTTTTAGCAAACTTTTTTCCCCCTTCTCTTTCCATTTCACACCATCACCTCCTTTTTTCTTTCCACTGCCCTCTTCAGCCTCTTAAAATTTCACATCCTATCAATCAGACCTTTGTTTGTAACTCATAAGGTAAAATCCCAAACACCCCG